ATTAACCTTGCTTCTATAGTATACGCGCAAATATACTACGCTATATCTTACTATACTAAGTACCGTGTATTCGATAACACATTCAGACAAGCATTTCTATAAAGTTTACGGGTATCAATCTAGAGGTTGATCGCCATATAACAAAGTATAAGCATACACAGCATCATCCAAAGTTATTTTGCAAGCTAAAACAAAAATTACACCAAAACGATAAATCAAAGTAGCTGAGATGCAGTTTTGGCAAAGATTGATGCTTATTTGGTGTCAAAATTCGACACTTTGCAAGTAGCACTATCCTTTAACATTGCATCATTTACCCAAACTGTATACTCTTTTACTTATAGGCTTTAAACTCTAGATTTACGGTCTTCTATCGATCGAAATAAACAGGAGTAAATTTTAGTTTTCAGAGCTTTAAGTGTCCTAATAAAGTTGATCATTAGCTTCAAATCAACAATCTTCTTATACTTTACTCTTTTACTTATAGGCTTTAAACGTTAGATTTACGGTCTTCTACTGATCGAAATAAACAGGAGCCAATTTTAGTTTTCAGAGCTTAAAGTGTCCTAATAAAGTTGATCATTAGCTGCAAATCTACAGAATCCCGATTATTTCCAGAACAATTGACAATTCGCATATTTATTCTTAATTTTAATATCGTACAATTTAACCATCCTGGGGACCTAGACATACAGTACAGTACTTTTGTACAGCATACAGTACACGGATACACGGTAAAAAGTTACTGAACCTCTGACAGGTCTATGACAAATAGTAATACTATCTGTTCAATGAGCACATTATCGTAAACCGTCAGCAAAGCGACGGGAGTTTGCACTAGTATGCTTTAAACGCTAGATTTACGGTCTCCTACTGATCGAAATAAACAGGAGCAAATTTTAATTTTCAGAGCTTAAAGTGTCCTAATAAAGTTGATCATTAGCTTCAAATCAACAATCTTCGTATACTATACTCATTATATAGGCTTCAAACTCTAGATTTACGGTCTTCTACTGTTCGAAAGAAACAGGAGTAAATTTTAGTTTTCAGAGCTTAAAGTGTCCTAATAAAGTTGATCATTAGCTTTAAATCAACAATCTTCGTATACTGTACTTTTTTACTTATAGGCTTTAAACGCTAGATTTACGGTCTTCTATCGATCGAAATAAATAGGAGCAAATTTTAGTTTTCAGAGCTTAAAGTGTCCTAATAAAGTTGATCATTAGCTTCAAATCAACAATCTTCGTATACTATACTCTTTTACTTATAGGCTTTAAACGCTAGATTTACGGTCTTCTATCGATCGAAATAAACAGGAGCAAATTTTAGTTTTCAGAGCTTAAAGTGTCCTAATAAAGTTGATCATTAGCTTCAAATCAACAATCTTCGTATACTATACTCTTTTACTTATAGGCTTTAAACGCTAGATTTACGGTCTCCTACTGATCGAAATAAACAGGAGCAAATTTTAGTTTTCAGAGCTAAAAGTGTCCTAATAAAGTTGATCATTAGCCGCAAGTCTACAGAATCCCGATTATTTCCAGAACAATTGACAATTCGCATATTTATTCTTAATTTTAATATCGTACAATTTAACCATAATGGGGACCTAGACATGAATAAAGTTGATCATTAGCTTCAAATCAACAATCTTCGTATACTGTACTCTTTTACTTATAGGCTTTAAACTCTAGATTTACGGTCTTCTACCGTTCGAAATAAACAGGAGTAAATTTTAGTTTTCAGAGCTTAAAATATCCTAATAAAGTTGATCATTAGCCGCAAATCAACAATCTTCATCCATTTAATCTACGTCTTATACTGTACATCTAGAATATGCCACAGAATATTATCCCCTGTTATTCACCATAGTAACGCTGCCTACTACATGTACCACAGTAACTGTACGAGGACGCTCGAGTCATGACCACGTTAGCGATACAGTGAGACTAATACTGTATTAGTATCCAAAGCCCCTGACTGTGCACTATACTAGACGGTATCTACATCTGACGATCCTTTTATGTATGATACAGTATGAAAGTCTTTCGTCAGTATAGGTCTGGCACTGGCATTGTTGCAGTCCAGTGAAAGACGACGATGGACATGTCGAAATTGCAGTGAAGAAGAGTTTGAAGACTTATTTGAACGACTTTCCATCTGAGTAAATTATATTCAAAATAAGAAATAACGATCTAGAAAGCTTAGAAATATCCAATAGTACTAATCTTCTTTGACGTCATTTCCCTTATACGAACTGACTGACTTTACTCACTCCATTTATCCTTTTTGAACCTTGGCCATTCCCAACGACGACATTGATCTCACCTGGATCTGCTGTTCAATGATTTCATAGAAATTGCACTTTACCAATACGCTAATTTCTTGTACAATATCGGCAACAGTCAATAGACAAGATCCAGTTCAAATTTTGATGCTTGCCTAATTTTATCCTATGAAGGATGCATAAACATGACCAAACCATGTATAATCCATCTATTTATGGACTTTATTGCAGCAAAATGGATCGCTCATGAATGAATTGGACTAAGAAATTTCGATATTAATCCCTGGTCATCAATTACTCAATCGTCATGCGTTTATGGTCAGTCTTTACCGTTACTATAGCATTTGGTGCAGCCTTCTTAATTCTACAGCTGGTATTATATAAGGAATTTTTATTCAAGGTAGGCCGTTGCTCTAATCGATGAATAGTTATGATGATATAATATTAGATGAATTTCTTCTAAATATTCACATGTGTATATTGGACTTGTAATGCACCTCAATGCCATTTCTAATTTTATAATTTCAAGACGTTTTCGGCTATTGAAACACAAGTATACTATAGTATAAGCATTCGTTTGTGCTGAATTTGTAGGAAATTAGAACGGCATTAGCTTTATTTCCATTATAGTACAATATATGCCTCAAGAAAATTTTTGCCTGTCCTGTTACGTGTATCAATCGATATGCCTCGCTATCTTATCAAACTACTTAGTTTTATCCACTGCACAGTGCACATTGCTGAAATGGGCTTGATCCGATCATTGTCAATAATGATAACTCAGTTTCATTTGTCCAATTCGTCACTATATGCATATTAGCTCGTGAGTGCTCATGTAGTGCAAAGCTTTTTAAGAAAATTCATAGATGATGAACAATTCCTTACATCTTCAATCAGTGTTTAGAACATAAATCCTGTTCTATAGTGAGTTTTTACTTTGACTGTATCTTCGTCGGATAATGCCATCGTGGCAAGATTACCCAATGACGTGCTGCCATAACCTAGTACCGTAGACATCATGCCAGTGCTTGCTAGTAAAATTGACATTTTATATTACTTTAAGAGTACTCGTGTATCGCTAGGCTACTGTTATTGAAACAGTTATGCTAACATTAGTAATTGTCTGTTACAATGTATTATTGTTATATCGAATTAAATATCGCTCCTACTACAGAAATCAATTCCTGATTATGAATGGTACAATGGCGGCTCATATATACACGTAGTACTGTAAATGCATGTATTTTGATGGATAATCGAATCTCACTTACTGTATAGTAATTATTTTCAGTGAACAATCTATTGTAGTGCTACAAATTGGCTTATTTTGCAACCTATTTTCTGTATCTGCGGTTTTACATTAGTTTCATTCTGGAAACATAAATATAATGACACATGATATTAGATACATGAAATCGATAAGACACTGTAATTACCGATTGTAATTAAAAAAATCTCATTATTTATGCCTTACAACATGCAAAGTTAATAGATACACATTATTTTCAATATAGGAAAGGGTAAATTATCCACATTGTTATATATTCTTACCATATTCTTCATGCCTTTAACAAACCTATCATTATTGACTTTTAGGTATATGATAACACAAGATTTTCTAATATGAACGATCAGCAACTATCAGAATTAAATTGGGTAAGATTCTTGAAATACGTTAGACATTAGTAGGAACGCACATTTCATTGTTCTGAGTAGAAAATTTGGCATAGTTTAGTTTCATCACAAATAGCTGTCATACCATAGTGTACATCAGATATTATGCCGATTCATTTACTTCGTTGTCTAATACTAAATTGTTGGCTAACACAATTTGCATATTAGCATAATACGCAATAAAGGAAAGAATAGCACATTAGTCAAGTTTTTTGAATTTATCTTGTCAATTATAATTACTCTATGTTTTAATAGGAGAGCTACTGTTTAAAATGTAAATGTAGTAATCGAGTAGTAATCGCTTATCAAAAAACTTGTTGGAGATATCAAAATCTTTTGCATAGCTATGCCCTAGAAGTAGCAATGTGATTGATTAAATCATTGCAAAGGAAACCCATATCACTTGGTATATGGGTAGATATCAGGTTATAGAAATCAAGTATCCAATATACACGTATTGGTATATTGTTCGGCTACTGCTCTGTTTGCGCTATTATACTTGTTCGCTAAGATAGCACTGATTAACCATTACCACGATCGTAATGTCGTTATAAGTTGCTTAGGTGTTTACTAATACACGTGTATCAATTCCTGTTGTACTTATTAGGAAAAGTTTAATATAGTTTTTCAAATTTTTGAAAAATTGGGAATGAAAATAATACTGATTGATAATCAAGCCTTACAAATGTGGCAAACTACAATCAATAAAGTTTCTATTGGCATGAAAAGTAATAAACGCTGTCCTGTACTATGTAATAGAAAAAGAACGGCTTTTGCTCTGATGGATAAGGATTGGGAAGCCAATAAAGTAAGAAATGCTTCAGTCGAGCTTATTTTTACTAATAGATTCGCACTACGTATTTATTCAGAAATACGTACAATGTTAATTTTGATCATTTTCAAAAATGATTTTTAAATTTTACTGTTAGACCTTAAGTGAGAAGTTTTCTAATGAGGTAACAATAATATATTCATACAGATTAAAGTTTATAACGAACTATCTAAACGAAATATTCCATTTATTGTCGATTATGGAGATGATCCTCGCATTACGCATTGGTCTCTAATCGGTGATCAAATTGTTTATCATTTATGGCTTCGTTTACTTGACCATAGCTTTGTACAAGTTGTAATTTTGTATAAGAGAGGTAGTGGTAATTATCATTGGTATGGTCCTGTCAAGAACCCTTCCATACTGTCTGGTTTCTCAAGAAATAGATCGGCTAACCAGTTTGGCGAATTTGAAGGTGTATATGACAAGTACGTTTCTCGCCGTAATAAAAATTCTCCCTTTGGAAAATTTAAGGAGCGGAACTTTTCTATGATAACTATGATGTCTGCAGGGCAATGTATTGATTCTATGCCGTACTTATGCACCACAGTACTTTAAAATTGACAAAACTTTTAAATATTTAGGTTCTCTATTGTAGGAGTATCAATCGATGGGTTTAGAGTTCACATACCGATTAATATCAACGCATTTTTACGTCAATCGAGATCTCAGTACACAATGTGTAATATGAGTAGAGCTATGATTTTTTTTCAAAATCATGGGAAAGACCTGTCACCCAAAGCCAAGAAGTTTTATGACTCGTCTAAAAAACTAATAACTAAAGCGAAAAAAGTCTTAGATGATTTAATGATTCCATTTTGGATTAGTAGTGGAACATGCCTAGGTACATGCATATCGGATCTCTTTGCCAGTTCATTATGTAAAGTTAGAGATTGTTTATAATGTTATTACCATAGTAGATGAATTGCTATGTTTTATGCTTACCTGTATCAGGTTGGTTTCGCCAATGTGGAATCATTCCCTATAGCAACGACGTAGATATTGGCATTATGGCAGACGACTATAAACCAGTGCTCATTAACGCTATGAAAAGAAACGGTTTTTCCTTAAAATTTATTTTTGGCAAAGTATGTTCTATACTATGTAACGTGCTATCTCATTTTATAAATATTGCGCACAGATGCCGTAACAACTATTTATATGTTTACTTAATACTCTTATTTCAGCTAAACGATAGCTATGAGTTATCGTTTATGTATGGAGAAATCAAGTTGGACATTTTCTTTTTTTATAAAGAGAAATCGTACTATTGGAATGGAGGCACTCAAGCGAGAACTGGCCTTAAATTTAAGTGAGTAAATAGATTTTTTTGCAAATGCTCAATCATAAATTTGCAGTTTTAGATAATACCATGACCTTACCTTGCTATGCTAATTTGGTTTAGATATATTTTCCCGAAATTTACCTTATGTTGGACAGAATTTCTTAATCTGATGATTCGTGTTCCTTGCGATACGCAAGTATATCTGGAGGCCAACTATGGTATTAACTGGTTCACACCTATTAAAACATGGGACTGGAAAGAAAGCCCCCCTAATGTTATCAAGAATGGTCAATGGGATCGTCATGAATGGTCAAAAGTAATACAACTATTTTAATTAAATCTGGTTTGTAAGGACTTGTTAATGAATATATATCAACAATATACATGTTATGCAAATCGTCAGCTTTTTCTACGCTAATATAAGTAAGGACTCCATTTCCTACGGTATGATTTATTATGAATGTTAATTTTGTTGGTTACTTCTGGTGAAATTTCAAATTATGACTATATTTACTATCGATCTATGGTTTCATCCGTAGAATGACTCAGAATAGATGGATGACGAATTAAGGAATTAAATCTATTTGTTAAGTGCATTACAGTACTTTATCAAAATCTTAAGGAAACTTCCTGTATAAAAATTTTATCACACTTGCAATAGTTACGAGTCAATTTGGTTCTTGAAGATGTGAAAATCGCTACCTACACAATTATTGTGCGCAATAATTATTAGATAATGTAATACATGTACTGTACACGCAGACTGTATTCTGTAATCCCAGGTTTTTCGATACGATATTGTTCGAAAAACAAAATTTGTGTGCTTGACTCCGAACCTATTGTATCGTTTGTCACAACGAACTCAATCATGTAACGGTCTCGACCATCTTGTGCGGTAATATGGATACTAATGTTTTTAACTTGCGTAGCCTTAGTGTCGATGACTCTACCGTGGGTTGGAAAGCTAGCGTATCATGCTACATGATATTGATAAATAAAAAATTTTAATAAGCAGTTAATCTGGGTTACCCGTTATACGAATTGAAGGATACATAAGTTATACTATTTGTTTTTCCAATATGAAATCCAAACTTATATATTTTTGGTAGGGTAATTTACGAAAAAAGCACTGCTACAAATTAACACTTGACTAATGAAACATGTGTATCGCTTACGGGCGATCGATTTCGGTACATCAACACTTGCAAATCCTACTTCAGATTTCTGCGTATGCAAACTTTGCAAAGTATCTGCCAGGCAGCGAGTTATCTACATTCATACTGCTATGTATCCACGACCAATTCATAATACTTTCAATTAAATTCATCAACCTGAACGGAAACAAGGCACCTAACCCTATCTCAACAACTTTGATAATAACCTATTTCAACAAAACTCGTCATTGACGCGCAAATGTATAATTGGCTGATACAAATTTATTTAACGTAATATCCAAAATTTACTTAGCAAACAAGCCGTAAATGTTCCGATCCGATATCTAGTTGTTAATTCAACCAAGAAAATAGCAAACAAAGTTATTTCAAGGTTATGATGCGTACGATAAAAATATCTGGTGTATAGCCCTACAGTACATAATTTAAGCTTGTTAATATGACATACCTAGCTTATTTTAAATAAAAATACAAAGTAATTCTATTTGCATCAAGTAACACTCGTAGTGAAAGCATAGAGTGTCATCAGAAGGCAAAATGATACGAACTTTGGCGTAAGCTTCTAATAAGCTTATATTTGTAAGCACAGATACGTAGTATTGGATACTACTATCTACTTTCTAAGTGTTGCATAAAGAGACATTCCAGTAAGAGCATTTCGTTATTTCCTCAGTAAATTTACTATATTATAAAATCAACGGTACTACTAGAATAGAATAATCATTACGACCATTAGTTTATGTAGGCTAACTATAGCACATTAAGCAAAGGCTTTAAATAGCCTAAAGCCCCATTTGTAACAAGTTGTGAATATTGAAGAACAGATTTTGTATAAGATAAACCGCATTGGAAGATGTAGAAGTATTTCTTTGCTGCCGTTGAACAATAAAATTTGAGATAGTAGCTTCTACAACAGTCATAAATAACCAAATATCAATTGCGTTTAACAAAATTTATAAGAAATCAGCAAACAGCATATTCTTTTGTTCTTGCTATTTAACATCTTCCCAGATTTGGTGTCTGCTAAACGATTGATTAAATTTAAAGTTCTTTCATGAGGCATCGGTGTGGTAAAAACTGCTACTGTGTTAATCTAATAACCAATATACGCGTTGTCCATGAAGCGTTAACAGTCGTACCAAGACACATTGCCGCTTGCTATAGTACATAGATGATAATTACGATATAGCATACTGATTCAGTAAACCGCACCTTTGAATGATCAAGTTGTACGGAAATGTGCAACTCGACTATTAATGAATGATAAGGTATTAATACCAAGTTGTTATAAGAGGTGATTGTCATAATTACCTTATTACAGTAACTATTATATTATCAATTGATAAAAATAATAATAATAAGTTAAATGGTTTCTTAAAGTGGATGCATAGTCGTTACCATGGTAGTAAATATTCATCCGTGTAGGTAGTTCCATTAGAAGAGAAGAAGAGTAATTTCAAGACATATTCTTTTGATACACCAGTAAATACAAATACGAGTATTGGTATTGCTATCCCGGAGAGTGCACGACAATGTTATTACTATTGATGAGCCATACAGTAGAGTAGAAAAGCTAAAAAAGCTAGCGATTCATGTTTATTGATATCAGCTTCATGAAATCAATACGGGCGAATCTTTTTTTAAGACCAACAAATTCCCTTGGAATTCAATTGAAATTTTAAAATAAAACTTGAATATTACCATAGCGATCGCATTCACGGTATACTCTCATATCTGTAAATAACGCTATTTTAACCCAATCTAATACTATACTTTCAAATCGAACACAATCAATACACTTGCGCAAGTGGCAATCATGCAGCAATAATTGATAAGCACTCCATATTATTACACTTTTCAAGCTTGCAAAAGCTTTACAGTATGGCGCATTCACGGTTGCAAATATAAGCGACTTTAATCTCTAATTCTATCTTGCGATGCAGTAGGCTATTTACAGATCTGGGATGCAAATCAAGTCCATCCAGTACTGTACTTGATAGCAGCTATGCGAGTCACATAACGTCGTCTTCGTTGCTGTCTTGATCACCGATTGAAAAGTTCCTACTTAGGCGTTCGTGATCGCCTGAGTTATTTGATAGACTAATCGAGGGTTCAACAGCATCAAGTAGCACACTAGAATCCGACTCAAAGCCAAATTCTCTGGCTGCGATCTGCATCAAACTCAAAAGATTTTCTAGCATACCCTTGGTTTGCATCATTTCATTCAAGAGATCAGCTTTTGGTTTTAATTGATCGATTACACTGGCTTTCTCTTTGATTTGATTTTGTAATAAATCTGTCTGTTGCTTATAATTTTCGAGTTGCTCTTCCATGGTACAGTTTAACGAGTCTATCTTGTGTTTATAATTGCGAAGTTGCTCTTCCATCTTTTCATTTTCTGTTCGTAAGCTGTCAACCTTGCCTTCCTCCGATTTTAGCGAACTCTTGAGCAGCGACACCTGGATTTCGAAAGCAGCCTTATCTGATTGCCTACCTTTTTTTTCTTCTTCTAACTCTGCTTTGATGAGCTTATTTTCACTTTCCATTTCTGATAAATTTTTATACAACTGCTGTAGATGATCATTTGCTTCCTTAATTGATATTTTAGTTGGTGTAATTGCTGCCATATTGACCGTCTTTGGTTACTATTTTGATGACACTTTCCAATCAATTATCTTTCAATTTATAGTTCCAAATCTACTATTACTATCTTACATATACCTTGAATCTGCTAGAGAAATTGGCTTCGTCTTGGTGTTATGATAACTACCTTACTCAAGAATGAATCAATTTTTGAAGGTTGGAAGAGTTTATGTAAAAGGCTAGAGCGCTACTACAGAATTATGGTGGATTATCAACTTGCCAGACTCGACAAGATGATATTTTTAGAAGCACGCCATACTGAATGGCAGATCGTTGGAGTACAGTACTGTAGACTGTACACTGTAGACTGTACACTGTCAGTTCAGTCAGTAATGTGCGCATGCTCCTCTTCAGGTTGTGGTCAAAGTTAAGTTGCTGTTAACTGTATGCAGTGTACACTCACTGTACAGTACTGCAAAAGTTGATGACGAAAGCAGCCAAGACTACTGGTACAGTAGACCCTGGAGATTCAACTTGACAACAGAAAGTTTTGTATAGTATGTACAGTACTGTACAGTACAATCTGATTATTTTCGAAGTCTCCTCTTCGTTAAAACCAAAGTTGTATTCCTTTGAAATTTCTGTATAGTATTTATATGTACTGTACAGTATACCCATAGAAGGATATCTCCGAAGATAGATTATCATGAGAACATCAACGTACAGTACTGTACAGTACAGTACAGTACAGTACAGTGTACAGTGTACACTACTGTATACTGTACACTGTACGGTATGTCCGTCAATAGCTCTTTCTTGATTGGAAGTCCCTACACGTGACCTCATTTCACCGCCACACATCAACCAAGTCATGATCCGATTATGTACTGTACAGTGTACAGTACTGTACTGTACTGTACGTACCTGTACAGTACTACAGTATACAGTACAGTACTTAGACCTAAGTGTACAGTGTACAGTACTGTATGTATTGTCATGCACTGGAATACTATAGTACAGTATACTGTACGGTACTGTAGACACTAGACAGCCTGTAGACAGTGAACTATACTACTGTGCGTGCCCTACTGTGAATGTTCTGTATAAAAGAGCACATGCTCATCTCCAATCGATCCATTTTTCTTTCACCTTGTCATTAAGACACTGGTAGTATCCTTTTACCATACTTAAAAAAAATAAAAATTCCAAAAAAATTTGAAAAACTCTTTTAAAAACTCCCAAAAAACTTAGAAAAAATTGTGTACTACCCTATAGCAAATCCATTTAACAGCAACATAACAAGAAAATACTCCTAGAAAGCGTTATAACGGCCTCTGGTTCTCTAATTTTTTTTTGTTGGTAAGGGCGCTAAAAAACACATATACTCTACTGTACTTTTGACACCTTGGAATGTTTGGTAGAAGGCCACGCTGTAGTGCACTTTGACCGACTTTTTGGATTACTTTTCACTAATTGGATTGCAATTTTGATTACAATTTTCAGAAGGAAACTATCATTAAAGAAAGTGAAGAAAAATGAATACGCAAGCAGCAGTAGCAGCATCATCATCATCATCATCATATCCAATGGCTTCTTTGTACGTTGGTGACTTAGCACCAGACGTGAATGAAGCTCAGCTATATGAAAAATTTAATTCAACCGGCCCTATCTCTTCGATTCGCGTCTGCCGGGACGCTATTACGAGACGTTCCCTCGGCTATGCCTATGTCAATTTTCAGCAGCCTAACGATGGTATGTCAGTATGTCATCACCGTAACTTGACAATTTTGTAACTAATTACTTGTACAAACTACGAACTTGGATTTCTTGAACGATTTAGTTAAATATAAAATCCTTCTGATAACGTTTGCATAGTGCAGTACTGTATTTCTCCTTGAGATAGACTGATGCCGTAATAGGATCAGTCCTATTGGATTCACTTTTACTTGTCCTACATTCAGTATAAGTACTAAATATAGAAGAGCACTTTTGGTACCGATTTACAGTAGATTGAATAATATTTTCCATCCCCATATCGGGAGAATCTCCACGCCATTCGACCTGATTGTAGTAGATTCAATTCAATTTTTCCATTTTGCCACTTGTACGCCCCAAAACCGTATTGAGTTACTAAATATAAAACGTTACGCGTACAGTGATTTGGCTTGGTATTATCAAAGAGTATCAGTCAAAGGCTACCGTCTGCGTACTAAGACAATATCAAATGAATGGCAGTCATTTGGTATGCGTTAAGACGGTGCAAGTACAGTACAGTACAGTACAGTACGGTACGGTAACACCAATAAGCGTACTCTTACTGATAGTAATAGCCCTTCAATATTATGTACGGCGAGGCGTGAAATTGGGCAAACGATGAAGGAATTTTAATAAAAAAAAGGATGGAGCATGAACGAATGTAGATCTGTGATGTATATACAGTATATAGACTCGATTACTTTGTAATTGCAATCGTGATTATAGCCCAATTAATGAACATTCCAGTCACTACTTGTCCCTTTATCTTTATAGATTTACAGTAAGTTAACCATTTACTCCTATTAATAATTACAGCTGAACGTGCTCTGGATACCTTAAATTTTGATCCGGTCAATGGCAAGCCATGTCGGATTATGTGGTCACAACGAGATCCATCCCTACGTCGATCTGGTGTTGGCAATATCTTTATAAAGAATTTAGAAAAGGACATCGATAATAAGGCCATATATGATACATTCAGCGCCTTTGGAAACATTTTATCTTGTAAAATAGCCTTGGATGAAAATGGTAACTCGAAGGGTTATGCTTTCGTTCACTTTGAAACTCAGGAGGCTGCTAATCGTGCAATCGAGAAAGTTAACGGCATGTTGTTAAGCGGCAAGAAAGTGTAAGTGCTGTCGACAGTATAAAACTTATCAAGTAGTCAAGATGATAACAATTTTGTTGTAAATATGCCGCTCTTCAATTTGAATTTAGATTTGTTGGACATTTTATGTCGCGTAAGGAACGTATGGAGAAGATTGGAAACTTGGCTGCAAAGTATACCAATCTTTATGTGAAAAATTTTAGAGATGATATATCAGACGACGAATTTAGAGATCTATTTGAACAGTGCGGAAAGATTGTAAGCTGTGTGGTCATGCGTGACGATAGCGGAAAGTCAAGGGGCTTTGGATTTGTTAGTTATGAAACTCATGAGGCGGCTCAAAAGGTGAGTATAGTAATGTATACAGTTTAGTTTTATTTTATTAAAATGGATTCGTACTGCAACCAGTGTGATCAGTTTCAAATTTTATCGCTAAACGATGCAACAATATCGAGAATGTATTTATGCTGACTGAAGTTTTTCCTCAAAATATTACAGGCTGTAGAAACCTTGAATGAAAAAGAATTTGATCTGCGCCGCATGTACGTTGCTCGAGCTCAGAAAAAAAGTGAGAGAAGTGCTCTTCTTCGCCGCCAGTACGAACAGAAAAAACAAGAAATGATGAAACGCTTCCAAGGTGTTAATTTGTATGTAAAAAATCTAGACGACGTTATTGACGATGCAAAACTCAGGCAGGAATTTGCTAATTTTGGTACGATTACAAGCGCTAAAGTAATGAGCGATGAAAAAGGTATTTCTAGAGGTTTTGGATTTGTATGCTTTTCTTCACCTGAAGAAGCAACGAAAGCAGTAACTGAAATGAATGGGCGAATTATCATTTCAAAGCCGTTATACGTAGCCCTAGCCCAACGCAAGGAGGATCGTAAAGCCCAATTAGCTGCGCAGTACGTGCAACGAATGTCTACTTTGCGCATACCTCAACCAGGACAACCAGGTGTTAACCAAATGTTTCAACAAGGTGGATACTATATGCCTGGTATGCATCAGGGTCAGCAACAACAACAGCGATTTTATGCAACTCAACAAATGCCTGCTCGACCTAGGTGGCAGAATCAACAGATGATGAGAAATAGTGGAGGTGGATCCAGTTATGGAGGTATTGGCGGCGGTAGTCAAATGGGACGTGGACGTGGCATGAGATTTGCTGGAGTACCACGCTCACAAGGCCAACAAAATGTAAACCCTAGCCAACGCTCTGCTGCAGCTAATGCAGCTCTTGTCTCCAACCAGCCTAGGCACCCACCTTATAAACATAGTAATGTTCGTAATATTCCTCCACAAGCGCCTAGTCAAGCCAATCATCAAACTCGTGCTCAGCCAGCTCAAGATGCTGACAACTTGACCACTCACTTATCCCAAGTCGATGAACCCCAACAGAAGCAGATTTTGGGTGAGAAATTGTATCCAAGGGTAGAAGCAATTTGTGGTAGCGAAAAAGCTGGAAAAATCACTGGTATGTTGTTGGAAATTGAAAATGCTGAAGTATTGCATATGTTAGAATCTAAAGAAGCATTGGATTCAAAAGTTCAAGAGGCTATTGATGTGTTAGACAAGCATAGCAAGACACAGGAATCGAATTAATCGAATAAATACTGTATGACGGTTGTAACAATCTCTAGGTGATATATGTTCTGCAATGTTGTGTGAACTTTGCGATGCGATCTTATTGTAAAGTGGTTAATCGATTTGCTAATTAATGTCACAGTTTTAAGGGTTATACTTATAGCTCAATGGAACCAATAAAAGGATACTTTAAGAAAAACATGCATTCTTTCCTTTCATTAATAAGTATGAACTGTAGGAATCCGATTAAAACGATTTAAATTCGCTATCCCAAACAGGGATTACTAAATATAATTTAGAAATTCTTGCCCAAAACATGTATGAAAACGACCGGATTGAGTGAAAGTTGATTGCTATAGTACTGTACATGTTTGTTGTGGTTCGATGCTCTACGATGGTACATAATTATTACAGTAATAGCATTCGTAAGGACAGAAATATCTCGAACATGAAAAACTAATGTATGCGTGTTGAGGTAAATTAGCAGTAACTGACCATGTCATCTGTTTACGGTTATAATTCACTTAATTTAGTTCGTGTTTGAGTCTACAAGTTTACGTTTAATATTCTACTTTACGCGTAAATATTCTAACTTCGAAAATCATGACTATCATGCATTTCAAAATCATAAAAATACTTTTTTATTTATAGTCACCTAGTTGCTACTTATACTTATCATGCACTATACAAATTTGAAAATTACCCATATTCAGTCATTAAAATAGAGATTCGCATAGGTTTCATAATATTAAAATTGTAGGCATTTTGCTGAGTAACAGTAATGAGAATATAAGCGATGTTAATCATAGAGGAGGTCTCCTGAGCGTATTCCTTTTGTAATATTTAAATAACAACCAATTGCAGTATAAGTACAGTTGCACTAATTGTGCATCATTCCCTCTATACACAGTACAGTATGTACTGTATTATATAGTACGAGTACTAATGTGTACAAATTCAACAATACCATACGATCCAGTAATTATTTATTATTATTGATCATTTAAGAGTAACGATAGATCATCTTTTTGGCGAATTCATACGCAACAAAATTTACGGCAATAGCTGGAGCGACCTAAATATCACAATCGTAAGCATGCAATACCTTAGTACGAGAGCACATAACTTAAATGTATAAACTGAACAAGCTAGAATAACTATTACTCCTTAATTATTACCTTTATAACATTAGGTAGCATTCCTTTATACAATCCGAGATATCCTTCTACACGGATAATAGTAGCAAACGCATTTGCAGTAGAAGTATAGGCGAAGTTAGAATTAGTTCCTTTCATTTGCATTCTTCTTCGTATCACATCTAGTGGATAGGTGACTTGAATGATAAAAAATGATTGACGTCATCAAAGGATTATAGGTTTACAACATTAGATATTTGATAATCATACTTCAAAAGTTGATACAATAACCCTTAACATTGTAAAAGTAATATTTATTTATTCTCTCGATAAGTGATAATTTAGCACGTATATAATAAAGGAAACACTACCTGATTGAGATGCAGCACCAGCAATCCCACCGCACATTAGTCTAACTGGCACAGGCAATTCAGAAGTTCCGTTTGTAGAGGTACTATAATAACGTCTCGTCACTATACCTATAATATGAAATGATTTAGCTTACAATCGGTTTACAATATGAAACATCCACCAATATAGCTAAATAGCTGAAATTCGATGTCATCTAATATGCCAAACAAATTCACTAATTTTTAATAGATAAATCAGCAGTCTGTACCTTTTAAGTTTTCATAAATCATGAAATTAAGGCCAACGTAAGGAGCAACACCCTAGTGTAAGGAGTATCGGATATAAACAGTAGTAAAGTGAGATAATAATAGAGTAGTATATGTAAGGAATTAATAATAATTCTTAATTGCAACTAATTTACGAGTATAGATAGTTTAGTACGGATTATATTCCACAATTACACATTTTCATGTGAAACTGCATTTTCTTTGGTTACCATTAATGATGGTCCAATTCCACGATAAAGTGCACCCCCAAAAAATCCGCCTTCTTGTCGACATATTAGTACAGCTGCATGGAGAATACTCCTGAAAAAATTAAATTGCTTTAGATTGGAGTCTATCAGTGCCTGATTAATTCATACCATAGATTGACATTCAAACTATAATTGCAATCGATCACGAAATAAACAGATGAAAATATCGTTAACTTAAGTTAACTCTTTGATAATCACAAAATTATGGAACCTTTAGAACCTTTAGCTTGCACAAAAAATTAAAAGTTTTTATATTGACTTTTCTGAACTGCATAATTAGTAAGATCGATTTCTTTGTTATTCACAAGTGTAGATACTCTCATTGTTGATATTGCAGTATAAGTTAATCTAATAATTAGTCGAGCATATTTACAACTTTATATCTTCGTATGAAACTACGAAAATAATGTAATTACATTTGTGAATACTTGTTTAGCTCTAGCAATACGAACTATAACAAAGTACCATAATCAATTTAATACATGCACTTTGCAGTACATTTACTTAATTTGCTGCTATCATATTGCAGAAATATGGATCGTAAGAATAATCTATTATGCAGAAACGTAATCTAATATACGTATAATTATTAATTATGGAGTAATCAAAGTCTTTCCCAATCCATCATCAATGATGAGCGTAAAGGATGCAATATGATCTACCTACACAGTAAATGGAAAATTTTTACATGTGTTTACCTGTATTTGCGTGAAGGTCCATCGCCTTGAGCAGCCAATCGAGTTCTGTTTGACACGACATTTATATATTTACAACGAAATAATATAGGCCATTAAAGCGTAATAAAATCAAACCTTAAGACGTTCCGTAGCCTAGACGATGTAAGATGTTGCCGTATTAAGACATCTAAGCATTCCTATTTACCGAATAAGATCCAAAGGATAAGTGACGATAACTGACGTAAGGCCAGCCAGAGCGCCAGCTAATAGTCTTCGAAAGGAATCATGTTTGCGAAAGTCTTGGCTTATATGAAATTGCTATATTAAACAAGCAGTCGTCAATTTTCATTTAAGAATGCAGTTTTAAGTTGAATAGTATTGCAGCATTACAATAATATATTAACTTGGAATCAAGCCGAGGTATTATCAGCGATATCAAATTACTTATTGTGATAATATTAGTTTATCAGAAAGCTTATAATTCTTAGATTGTATCTACTTAGTATTATTCAGCTACCTTCTTATATTCTTCATACGCAGTAAATTGGACGGCCATATACGGAATCATGCGAACAACGTTGGTCCCATTTCCCTATAATTAGAAAGATATCGTTTGAAATAAAGTACATTATCTTTAATTTTATGCAATAGTGACGTATGTTATTGTTGCAGCTAGATCAGTAACCAACCTTGAAGTAACCCCTAAATCCTTCTTCTCTACGTATTTGTAGTAGACTTGGTATGATTCCCTTAAATTTGATTTCATGTTGTGAATGTTGAAGCTACTCGATAGATAGAAATGTTAACCAAAATTTATCATAGATGACTGCGAAAGATTATAATCTATGTTTACAGGTTATATTACCAACGGAATTAAGGATTACAGGACGTGCCAGAACGATATTTACAGATGTACACATACATGCACTGATTACGCTGTACAATAGAATTATAACTACTGCAAATTCTAACAATTTTAATAATTTTAATAGAAAAACGATAGGAATAGCAACAGGTATCTAAGACAATGCATCTAAACTCGGCACCTATGCTATATACAGTACTGTAAATAACTTAGCTGACCTGAAATAATATCTTCAGTCTTTCTAACGGAGATACAACAGTTCGTGAAACAGCACCAGCAATTCCACCAGCTATTAGATGCTTAGATGTGTTACTACTAAATATTAACAAGGTACTGTGGCGATTTCGGCGAGATGACAATAATGAGGGATCCTTTTCGTTAGTCACTTGATATCAATGCAACAAGATACATAACAAAAGCCAGTTAAACTTGCTAATCAACAGGTTTGCATTCACTTTTTACTCATAAATTACATTATTTACGGTCAGTACATGCACTGCATTGCACGTTATAAATCGGTCATCACATTTTTATACTATATTTCTAGTCTAATCATATCACGTTGGTAACCATAAGGTAGAAAGAAAAACAAGTTACCAATTATCGATCTGCACACAGTATGTTAAATCTCTTCTACAAATGAACCAAATATCTACAAACGTAGTTGCTCAATTAGCACAGACTTTGAAGTATAGCACTATATATTGCAGTAGAATAAAGCTTTCCATCTGTAGCATCATATTGATATATTTTATCCCCATCGACCCTCTCTCTTCATTCAAACGTATAAAAATTTTTAAAAATTGAAAAACTCCATAGGCATTTTTGCAAAACGACATTGAATTACTGTATGAAATAGCACGTGCTTTGATTTTATCTACTCTCTATAAAGCTATCAAGTACAGTATATGCATTCTAGTTCAGTTTACTTAACTATAGCGGTCAAGTTTCCTGTTACTATCATGGGAAGTAAAAGAAGACCAAGTTTATCGAATGAAAGGAGTGGTACTGTACATTAATTGTACGCATCTATGTTCTTGTATAGCTGACAGTAATCAAGTTAAATTGGTTATAAAATTTTGAGCATTAGCAAATAGAACTCTACTCTTGTGAGGAACGTTTAAATCTCTTCTACATAAGTCATAACAAGTAATGAAAGTTATTAATTGCATACGCATATATCGTATAGAATCTATGAAGTTCTACAGTATGTTTAAACTTTAAACTTCACATGGCCAAATGTAGGTGAATATCGACTAGCTATCCGAAAAAAGATCACTTCTACTAGCCGATTGATATCGAATACACCATGTAGTACGTGTATCATCGTAGAGTAATGATCAAATTTGTATCATCGTTAGGATGCCATGAACGTCATCGTTTAAGTTCAATTAAGGCCACTTTAGAGTGACTGATGTTAGCATTATAGCATGTTTCATCGATATTAAGTGTGGTAATTTTGACATTAGCAGGCGATTCTTATGATGATAGATTGGAATAGATGCTTATTTTCACTTTTTTCACGATGATATTTTACTTTTTACTTGTTTTCAAGCAATGGAAGTTAACAAAATATTAATCTTACTCATAATCTCTACTTACTTGTAATAGAGTAAATATACGTATATCAATTTTCAGCACTTATTCGGTCTCACTAGGCAGTCCTCAATTCCCTTTTGTTTGTCTCCTTCAAATCTCATTCTGACTTGGCCATTTCGCCGTTCTTATGACATTTATACAAGTTGTTTGAAGATTGCTTTATCCAATTCTAGTTGTAAATGATATTATCTGAATAGATATAGTGAATAGAAAGAGGGTGGAGCCGGCTACTAGAAATTATAAGAAAAATGGTTGTCATTCATGTATTGCAGTAAACTTGGAGTCAAGCTCAGAAGTTAGTATGTGCATAGACTATCGAACCTCGTTAGTTGCCTCTAGTACCTGGCTAACTATACGTTGAGTGTATTTATTAGGCGCCTAATTAATGGCATAATACTGTACTAAGGGCTTCCTATTTTTATTGGTAATCCTTTACAATACATTACATTGCCGTAGCCTCTGGCGTTTACTAACGTATTGTATTTCAAATACTACGTGAAAAGCTTGTAGTATGTGTGTATAGTATGTTAACATTCATCTAGTATACGCATAATTATAATACTAGTAATTATAATATTTATATGCGAGTATATTCTGTATAGGCCATTACGCGTATTGCTTAGATTTCAGACATTGGCCGTAATATATATACATAAACATATATGTATATACAGTAATAATGATACTTTATACGTGTATAAGGCGTAAAGCTAACTATAATTAATTAGCAAATAAAATCAACGAGCTACAATCTTGATTCTAAATGACGTTAATTTTCCGTTATTTTTAGGCGTCTCCCTGTCTGCAACCAAAGGGTTTGTACTGTACTGTCCGTGAAGCAGACCTGAGAAAGGTTCGGTTCGGTTCAATATCTTTATGTTCTATGGCGTGAAGACTAACTGATGTACAGTTGTCGCTTACTAACTAGAAATAATTGAGAAGCTGACTATTTTACTAGTCGTTTTACTGTTCTGTACAACTGTTGCGTTACACCTTTTTAACCGGTTTTAAGATTGTGGCACCTGATGCAGAGCAAAAAGGATGAGTACAGGAGCGTATGGAAACAGATGTACGGTAGGGATATAACCAGCAAATAGTGTAGTCAGTCTTCCAGTTTCCAGATAGAAAGCGGCAGTTTGCTCGTTTCTTTTCTTCTCGTTTGAACTACTACAGACTCATTATACTCACTAATAGTAATGAATTATAACACAGATCTTGTTTCACAGTAAGTAAAAGAGCTGTACAGGGACGGACGGGAACTGGCCTTTACCAGAAGGCTGATCTAGGCTGATCAATGTGATCATTTTCTAGTCATTTTATTACTCTACCATACTACTGAAACCATACGGCGCACTATGGGAAACCTACAGGGCTACGATTCTGCTTAAGATCATAGCGCCCAATTACCATTAAAGCCAGATGAGCAAAAAGATTCCAAATTTACTTCAAATTATTCAATTTTAGAATCTTTGTAAAATATTATTTTCACCATACTCGTATGCTTGCCCACTGTATAGCGTACATTGTAAGGTCGCACATGTGTGGAGTAGAATAGAGTTTAATTGACCAGCAAAATAGTCCGTCTGCTCGATTCTGGTGAAAGGCCTCTTGCCGTGCTTCTCTTTTGAGTAAGATGACTGATGTTAGTATGGAAGGCTGTACATCACTGTTGCCATAGAGATAAGAAAACGGCTAAGCATTAATCAGTTAGTTTACTATAGACAACCTTGTCTCTACTCCGATGACAAATACAAGTATACGACGTCTATCTACTGCGATTAATTGAGAAACGATTAAATTCGAATCGTGATTAGACGAAGAACTCGAAATTTCTATCGCTTGTCTGCGCAGCATTCGCTGCTAACTGTCTTTGCGTTGGATATTAATCTAGTTACACTGTAGAAACAGGAAATATCCAAGATTTAGCAACCATCTTCAATAGAAACAACTGATCTGTAATAATCAATATGCCAGGTTAGATTAAGTCAATTATGAATAATATCATGGATATCTTGACTCATGATTAATTCTTAAGTATTAATATTGATGGCCATGCCAACTAAATTTAAAATAGAACATAAAAAGATATACTAGCCTACGGAAATTAAGATATTTTTCTTTTCTCTTCACTATCAATCTACTGCTGAACCTGTTAATTCAAATAGGAAGTAAATTAAAGCAAGGTAATAAAGTTAACATTGATATACTCAGGCACAATATATTTGATAAGAATAACCTACATCAGTTTAGCCACCATTAAAAGTGAACATATTTTGGTATAGGTAGAATATATAAGTACGGCAAACGGTACTTTAATCGACTACGGTAGTCGTATTAGACACTGGCTGTATATAACTATGTAGCCAAATGTTAAGATGAAGTTTCTGTCAACTTGATTCTTTTACCTGCCTCAGTATTATTAGTCCACATGAACATAGAACACGTATAATAACTTGATCAACTATGCCCTGGCATGCATAACATAATGAAAACAAAAAATATTTTACAATTTTTAAACCCAGAGTTGATCTGTAAAACTCCGTTATATCTTTAAATTAGCATATTATAGTATTTATGTAATTGAAGTAGAATATATTTCTAAAGTTTGCAAAATATAGGACTCGCTAGTTATCGTAATATGCAGAGATTTCAGTTTCTGCTATGTTGTTTAAAGGAACCTGGAATTTTAATACCATATCTGTACGATAAAGATTGCATTGATATATAGTAGAACATTTTGAATGGCTTAAAAGCAAGAAAAATGTATCGTTGTACCAGTGATAATATTATACATGTGAAACCAATAAGAGCAGTTCAGTTGTATACTTAAATACTGTTCACCAATTTTATTCTGATCTCTATAGCTCCGCCAGTATTGAAAGGAGTCTATATATTTCCCAATGGAGATCGTTATGGTATAGTAAATATTTTAAAACGGAATGATTTTGTCTAATTTGTCTTGTCTAGTAGAAAAAATTTGTAAATGATAATCATAATTGAAATAGATGGAGAGTATGTAATGATTGATGGAAATTTACAAAGAAATGGTTATGGAACACATACTACGCCGGACGGCCATCGCTATGAAGGACAATGGATAGCAGATCGAATGTTGGGAAAAGGTATATCCTCTAATGATCGTTAAGAGTGAAACGTCTTACATATATTTAATATTAATACATATCATACGTTTTGACATGAATAAACATATAGTACAATTAAAACTGCCATGAAACTTGACTTCTAGGCTGTCTAACCCATCCATCAGGAGCATCATATGACGGTGAATTTATGGATAACAAGTTTCATGGTCGTGGAAAATATTCATGGCCAGATGGATCATATGTAATGTGTAATTTTAACGATAATTTGTAAGTCAAGATTGTTTTATTGAGAGGCTTAATTAAGAACGCGTACTCAGTTGGCACCCATCGAAATAATCATCTTAATTAAATTTGTATTTAAGATTGAATGGTCAGGGAACGTATGTAGATCCTAGAGGTCAAGCTTGGGTTGGAAATTTCAATAAGCTGCAAGCAAACAATCTTAGATTCGTTTTAAATATGAAAACATAATATCATATTTATCTCCTAATAGCCTATCCAGTTTATTGTTCAAAACCAATTGTAATCAAATCTTCTAAATTTGATATTGTTAAGATATAACTGTAAAACTGATGCCGATTTTTTCATTTGGTTCATTGTTAAGAACCTATCTTAATTTAGGAGGCTGTTAAAACTATACTTAGAATACTGTACATCTACTCTGAAATAGTAATTGCCAACAAGGATTAATAGATAGAAATCATAGATAAGAACGTATTTGCAAAGGTCATTTATTTCCGTATTTTACAATTTTTTTTGAGAGCTACTTGATTATAGATAAATGTAAAAATTGCCTTCGTTACCGGATTGTTTGTAAGGGCATTAACAGTATACTATATGGAATACATTACATTGTCCAAAGCTAACTTAAAATTAATTTAAAAGCTGTTTTGTTCCATGATATTTTAATTAAGAAAATAATGGAAACGTTTCATTTTCGTTTCAATCGCAAAACATGTATATCATCGCTACGATAGACATCATCCAAGTCCTCCTGCCTAATCTCTTTTATCCTAAAATCTCTCTGCATATCCTATAAAATATAGAGATAATAATCAACTATTTTAATAAATGAGCCCTACAAGATAAATTTGTTAGCATCAAGGTCCGTATTTAACATGTCCTTACATATAGGAATCGGTGTATTAAGCTCATCTTATTGCCTAAAGTTCTTTCCTCGTAGCTTATCAATATTGAGGTGTCTTGACCAGCAAGTTTCTTTATAACATTTATCAATGGGTCTAAACCCTAAAAATTCGTCCATGTCTGAGTAATGTGTTTATTAATCTCAAAATTTACGGCATGATTATACCTTAACTACAGTTTGATTGTAATAGTCAACAAATACAATGATTACCACATTCAAGTGATATAGTTGTTAATATAAAATTTTTGACCCTGATTACGTTATTTGCTATAGCTTAATTTCAGCAATCCCACACGCATGTACAAGTAGCACTACAGTATACCCAAGTAATAAGACTATTAATCAAAAAATTAGTCACCAGATTACGTTATGTTACAGCAAGTTAATTCTAGCTATACATAAATTTATGTAGCAGTAGTACTTACCTCCTCATAATATATAACATCTGACATGATTAAATAGTCTGGTAGGGGTAAAAGTTTGTCAATTTCATCATTCCTGTCAGTAAAATAGTATTTATTAGCATACAGAAGATTTCATGATATAATTTTGTGATTAGAGCTTTTAGTTTCTGGTTTACCATTATCAACTATTAATCATTACACATCTGAACTTTTGCTTGTGAAATGAAAGGTTAGTTACTTCTCAGTCAATTAATGCTAAAATAGTACATTTTATGATAAGATATACTGCATAATTAAATCAATTCAATTCGATAGCTTCATTACTGACCAAGATAGGACGGATGCTTCAATGTGTCCAGAATGTATGCTACTTTTATTATTGTCTATGTTCAATTGCATTAATGGTAAAAATTGAGGTAAATCGGTTATAACCACGTTCGCTCTAGAGAAAATAGAACCAATTGAAGAGTAAAAAGCATGCATGATCCGAACAAGTTATGCAACTGCGATGAAAACGACGTTCGATCTCACTGTGTAGTGCAATAGTATAGCATACTCGCATGTATACTGTATATTGTCTACAAATTAGCCACTAGTTACAAAATCGAATGATGACTTGAGTAACAACTGACCCAATTATAGCAGCACAGAGTCCAACAATGCCAGTTCCAGCACCCAACTCAATAACTTTCTTCCCGTTAATATCTTCGCTACCTTTCTCGTGACCTAACTCCAAATATTTCGCCAACACCAAGGCCGCATCCCATACCACACAACCAACGTCACCAATTTCAGCTTGATGAATTTGTAGAGTCGATGAGCAGCATTCAAGTTGTCGTATAAATGATTTGCTCAAGTCCATACTGTCGGTAACGATATCCATATCTCCATCCATGTCTAAGAAGTTATATTATCTACAGTATCAATGGCATCCATATTAAGGTGATTAAAAGAGCTGAACTTGCGAGCATGAACGTATCTGGCTAGTACAGTACAGCAGCAGACATTTTTAAATAAACTACATCATTTAGATCCTGATTAACTATTGCAAAAAAATGTTATAACTATCCCAATAATGAAGTTACCTGCTTGTGATGTCGAAGCTACTTGCTCTTTATCGTTGCTATCCTCTTATTCTATCGACCACCTCCATCCATGGCGTCTTTCCCTTGCAATCCTCTGCTAATCTAAACAAGCCAGTTAAATAAACTGCTGTGCTGTACAGTACACTGTACTGTATTGTACTGTACTCTGTACTGTATTCTACAGTACAGTACACTTCGTCAGGGATTACTACTATAGAGAGATAAAATCTGTCCTACTGTAGTATATATACAGTATGTAGCCCCTGGCCCTGACTGCGTACTACAATATACTAGCTGGAATCGTTGTAGCCAGTCCTGTGCGGACTGAGCAATACCGTCTTGAAAAATTGATTTTGTTGGAATGGGGGGGATATTGGACGTCATATTTGGTCATCTAAAATCGAGTCATGAACCACTAGAAGAAGGCCTAGGACTTCGAGTACTCTTCCCGTTGTCCTTGATAAAGTCAAAGGGATAAAGAGTCCTTTGACTGCTTTCCAAAGCTAAAACAGCAACTACTGTACAAAATTCTTCATACTGGAATAGTGGATTAACAGTTCTCCAATAGGCGATACTGAACTTCGTGTGCAAAATAGCATGTCACTACTGATATCAACTCTAGACCATTGCTGTATGATAGCGATCGTTTCATAGGTGACAGATTATTTTGCACACAAATCGTTATCGATAGTGTACCGTACCCTATGAGGTCATCGCTATACGGTACTGCAGGGTATCGGTATGGCACTGCGCAATAGCTGAAGGACCCCACCCTACCAACGACTTTTCTCCTTTCTTGTCCTCCCTTACCAGGTACCATACCAGGAACGTCTTCTCTTCTGCTTGACGAGGTCTCCAAAAAAAATTTCTCAAATCATTTCCTTCTTCTACTGCTGACTATTCTGTTCGGTAAGTTTTCATGATGCAACCATGAATTCTTTTTAACCAATATTGAATGTACGGTATCTATCTGTGGAATATTCTGAGTTCTATCATCAGTCATAGCTTGCAATACTTGCAAGATTCAATTTAGCCCTTTTCAAACCCTCGCCGTAGCTGCTCCTTTATCCATCACGTTATTATAGCATGGATGCTCGTCAATTCTATCAAAGATGAAATTTCACTCAGTGACTGCCATTTTTAGCTACTATGTCAATAAAGTGGAATGTTGATGGCCTTTGTAGGCGAATTCAATGTCAATTATACTTTCCAATAAGACGAATAGAATCGATTAAATGATACGGCCATGACACGACGCTACGGGACGCACAATAACAGGCAAATAGGACAACCACTTGCATCAGCCTTCTAAATCAGTTTCCTTAAGGCCCCTTTTATCCTTAGTTCAGATGCGCTCTGTACTTTCTGACTGTCAATGCCAGCTAGTTAATAAATCTTAACTTAGACCACTGCAGAATGAATCCTGCTTTCCTCTGTAAAACCTGTCTAATCTTACTGGATGTAGACGGTTAGAAATAGGCATTAGCTTACTAGCTTGTAACGAAAGTAGAAAAACAATTTACCCTATCACGTATACAGAAAACCATACCGTATACCGTATCCCTGTTATCACTTATTCAATTGTAAATTCTGCAGATGATATAACGTACAAAATTGCATTCTTCAAGGAATCGATCGGTTACTCTAGACAGCTTTCTAACTTACAGTTTCAATCCATTTTCGTATTGATCTCCTATCCTCTTTATTAGTGCAGCACAGCCACGTTCTCAAGCTTAATACAGTACTGTAGACGTAGTTCATGAGAAGAGCCTATTGATCTGTATTAGGACTGTTGGATTCCATATTCTTGAATGAGTTTTTATTATCTACTTCCTCTACATCGATCTTAGATACGTGTAGTGTACTTAAAATGGTAATGATGGATGTATGGATACTTTGAACAACCTCGAGTACTTACAACTAGTTCTAACTATTAACTTTATTCCACATATTTGCACAGTAATCTAAATACACGTATGTAGGTAATACGGTTATGAATACCGCATATAGATATGCACCTTTGATCGAAAGAGGTGTCTTTGCAAGGATACAGTAATGCCTAGAATTAGACATGTGTATTAATGAAGTCAAAAATAAATTGGTTTACGTAGATAGGGATATGGGTTAACCTATCAAAGTTTTCATTTAAACAAGCATAGCGTGCAGTAGTTGTACTAATAGGATCGATTGTGAAATTGAATTATGCAAGTCAATAGCGACGGTTGTAATATAATAGCTAATATGTATCGTTTAGTCCAGCGATTCAGATGAAAGACGGACTATTCATATCGTAAAAGATGTAACTGCAGGCATGCAGGAATAATCATGACTATTTCTTTCACTAATATCGGCATACTATGAGTAGGTAATCATCTTGGCAGCTCATCATTATAGACTACTCACTGCATGACTATAGGCATTACGATCATCCGATTATTTCCGTAATTCCTACTGTATGATAATAATTCTTATTAACTATTGTATTATTTATAATCACTACCTATAATGTATTTGCTTTCAGGCCGATAAATACTGTACGTGGTATTTTAACTGCGTTTACAATAAAATAATAAAATGAGATTATTAAAGACAACGTAGTCAATAAAATTCCTATCTCTGTTAGAACTAATTGTAGTAAAATAGTTAACATAGAGTGAACAAGTCTAACTTTATTTGTCAATGCTGAAGTTTAGCTTTGTTATTACATTCTCCTTTTCTCTTGAATGAGAAGATGGTATTTATTATATACTATTTTGCACTGTTTAGAATCATTCATGGCCAACGATCAAAGACTTGCATCTCTTTTAGACCGTTTGGAATCGGTTACCAATCGGTTAGAAAAAATCCCAGGGAAAGGGGGCCAACCTGCTGACGATGAAGGTAGGATACGTTGATCAATAAATTGTAATAGCATGCAGTTTATCTTGCAAATTATGATAAATTTAGTATACTTACACGGTTATAAGAGTAGATTGTATAACATGGACTAACATAACATACCCTGTCGTTATATACTTAGGAAATACGGAAATGGTTGAAGAATTGGATAAGGTATACTTTAATGTTTTCACGGTCTGTAAATGAATATCAAACTTGAATTATGCTCCCACACAACTAACAGTTGAGGCATAATCCAATTGATTTAAAAATTTACTCTTTAATAGTATCTCGATAGATCATTTATGCCTATCTCAAGTTATTTAGCATATTATAGCAATGACTAAGGCAATTGCTATGAATAGACAACATATTGTCATAATGATGCTGACCATATACAGGACTTGGTTTAACAGTCGCCTTTTCGCACCATTAAATAGGCTCTTCAGAAAGAATTTGATACATACTATAACCTTTCAAATCAAATTGGTAATGATGTTGCAAAGCAGGTAGGTAATATGAGCTTGTATTCTAGTGAAAGTAAAGAAGTTACTCAACTAATCGATCGTCATCAAAGATTCAGTGTTAATAGATGATTCAGTATGATACTTCTTTCAATTAATATAAAGTGCCTTTACCGAAAATTCTTTACAGGCAGAATTAACCAAGAAAGCATACGAAGCTCATAGAGCTGTTGTTGTCACAGCATCAAAATGCAAGCTTCCTGAGGCGGTAAATTCGTTACTCAGTTAGGTAAAATATAGATCAGTTATAATCAATTTTGACAATATCCTTTTGTCGCGTAGGCTGCGTTACAGAATTTGCTTAAACCATTATCGAATGCAATCAGTGAAGTTCAAGTCAGTAACCTATTGTTTCCCATATTCCAATTACTATAAAGTATGGTACAGGTGTACTTCTTGTATGTGATATTTTGACCAACCATTCCAAATCTAGGCCTTTCGTGATAAGAATCGCGGTAGCAAGTTTTTCAATCATTTATCAGAAGTCTATGAATTTATCCTTTGTTTTGGATGGGTAACTGTAGTAAGTTGCAGTCTAATGTTATTATTATAGTCTCTTTAGTACCCATGACACATCCCATTTTAAATTGCTTTGAAATTGAATCGCGCTAATAGAGTCCTAAACCAGCAAATTACGTCAAGACTAATTATGAATCAGCTCAATTTTACCTAAACAAAGTCTTGAAAGAATTTAAAACCAGGTTAGTGTAAAGAAATTTTTTTATCTCAGTGATTACTAGAAATTTGAAATATTGTAGGATGCTATGATCTACATGTATGAATGTACTACATTTAAATTTCTAGTGACCCGCAACAAGCAGACTGGGCTAGGTCAATTGGACGTTTTATGAATGCTTTGATAGGATATATTAACGATTATAATGCAATTGGACTTAATTGGAATGCTGAAGGCAAGGACGTTTCAGCTGTATCCGCAGGAGCTCCTGCTGCACCACCACCACCACCACCACCGGCGCCTGTAACGGCTGACCCACCAAAGAATAGCGGTAATGAACGTGCTGCTTTAATGTCCCAGTTAAATAAGGGTGCTGACGTTACGAAAGGTAAGTTGTGCGGTTACACGTATGCATTTCTTCCGCTGTTTCAGCAGTCAATTATAAATATTTAGCGAACCCGGAAAGTTGGTATTTCTAAGTATTATTTAGTTCTCACTGTTACAGTATTCCAATTATGATATTGTATATATGATTATTAGGTTTAAAGAAAGTTACCAATGACATGAAGACACATAAAAATCCTGCTCTACGGGCATCAGGTGTAGTCTCTAGTACCTCTACGCCTGGCAAACCAGCTGTAAGTCCTAAGCCTGCTGCTACTAAACCTGTCGCTAAGAAGCCGCCAGTATTCCGTTTGGATGGAAAAAAATGGATTGTGGTATGATCAGTTTTCCAGAACGTAGATTACCAAAGATTCTTGGATAATAATATTTTAAAAGTCGTGTTAGCTAATTTCAGCTATTTAACGGTCCTACGTATTTCTTAAGGAAAATCAAGAAGGGAATCAGGATCTTGTCATTTCTGACACCAATATGAGACAAAGTGTTTACATATACAAATGCAACAACTGCGTAATCCAAGTAAAAGGAAAAGTCAATTCTATTGCAATGGGTATCGTAATGCAAAATGTTGTTTTAGTACAGTACAATAAAGATATAGTATTATACTCTTAAATCTACAGTATTACCACTTATTACCTTTTGATACTAGTTTATGTAAGTCAAATCTATTTGTTTTTTCTTCAATTGTTTCTACGAAACGTTTGAAAAGATACGTGTAAGAAATCCGCAATTGTATTCGATCATGTCATTTCCGTTATGGATTTCGTTAACTGCCAAAGTGTGAAAGTGCAGGTTAGACCTAGCTCAGACTATTGAGCGATTGCACAGTACAGTACGCTACGTATATCGTAGCAACACTCAGTCTGTTTTAGGACATACGAAGATATGCAAATTTGTTTTCCTACAAGCATAATCTCATCGTCAGATATCTTTAAGATAACAGGTGTCTCTGATAATCTATAGGTAAACGGTGCTGTTCCAACGATATCTATTGGTAATACTGATGGCATCCAGGTTTATCTTAGTAAGGAAGCAATGCAAACTACTATAATCTCTTCAAAATCATCAGAAATGAACATCTCAACTCCAACAGGGAATGATGGCGATATGGTAACGTTCATGCTTGACTTTGAACTATAGCATATAAAGATATAATATCTACTTCAGCATCGTAATACTCTCCTATTATTAATTTATTAGGTTGAAAATGCAGTCCCAGAGCAATTTACGACCGTATGGGATGACAAGAAGAAATGCTTCGATACCTATGCATCTGAAATAACTGCGTAAATACGATAACGTTAATATAGTAATATTGTCTTTATCTCATTATAAAGTGAGCATAAGTAAACATGACTAAAATGATTGTCTTAGCAAGTACCGATATTCGTATAACATGTCTTCACGAAAATTGATTTACTAGCCTTTAAGTATCAATGTTAAGTGATAGATATAAGGTAAAATTGAATGTTTTTGCCAAACAATAAAAAGATGATTTGATTTCTACTCTATGGAAAAATTGGATTCTTGAAATATGTAACTTAGTGCTCACTTCAGTAAATACGTTGACTTACTCTTATAAAGCTTTTTCTCACTTACTCGTACATAATGTCTACGATATGGACACTTGTTAATTTTAAAAGTTAGTCAGATATAATTTCCGGGTACTGCATATCAGTATTAGATCAAGTTTCAACCTCGTAGAATGTATAAGATAAGCGGTATTTCTATTGGTGTCTCTAGCCAGTTTCTACTGCGCGATAAACCCTAAAATCGAAGTTGAATGAAGTGTAAAATTTTATGAAGTTCCGAAATGTAAATATCATCTGTTATTAATTCGTCAATTTAGCTTGTAATAAGCCTACAGGCGTACAAGTATTATTCATTCATCGCTGTAATGTAAATCGATAAAGTATGAATTACCATTCAGTGCGGCAGGGGTGATAATGCTAAGAATTCTACATCTTACCCTAAACTGTTAAACGAATGTCCCACTAAGAAGTAGCGAGAAAATACTCATAATGCCGTTCTAGAGGCTACCAGTAAAGTATGATGAATTTAAGTTTCCCTTTAAACTTTACGTGCTATGAAACTATCAGGAAAACAGATTAATATGATTATCGATCTAGAAAATTTTAATTTCACTTTAGCATTGAAAGATGTAGTCTTTGTCCAGAAGTGCACTAGGATGCATGTTACAATGAATTATTACGAGTGCTTACAGTTAATGTATTTTAGATATCATCAACTGTAATTAGTGATATTTGAGGAAGGGATCAAACGTATAAGTATAATTATCAAGAATCCTAACAAATCTCAAGGAGCCGATCAAAAAGATCTTATGGTAAATTTTTTATTACGTAATTATTAAGATTTAGATGCTATAAACCTATGCAATTGGATAAATCAACAATAATTCGATTACATATTAGCTGTAACCCTAAATGAAAAATTTCTATGTAATAACTCCTAACCGTAGCGATAATAGAGTAGAATTTATACGTATAATTTCTAAGGTATTTGCAAATATCATCTCTGAAAAGATACGGTAAATGCATAATCGTATATTACTTAAAAATATCAATTAAAGAACTTGCTCCCGTATAAACTCGGATGGAATCATTCGTTTGATATCCATGAGTCAAAGAAAACTATTTATTTGTAGAGTAACTAAAATAACAAATTGCTGTAATAAAATATGCCGAAGGTATCTGAAGCGTGAGAATATGATAAGCTAAGTTGTAGTTTGTTTACTAATTAATTAAAGTATGATTTTTCTAAATTTAGAAAACATAAGCAAGAACTCATACGATGTCACTTTCAGCCGAAAAATTTAAATTGCTGTTAAATTATTTGATCGGTTAGGTATAATAAATTGAAATATTTTAAAAATCCTTCATCTTCAACTAGGAAGTTTGTGTCAATATTCAATATTTAGTTACTTACCGTAAATAACTATAACTATAATATAAACTATAAAGCGTTGAGAAAATTTTAAGAAAAATTACCTGTAGATTGTTGTAAATATCTATATCCTAAATGGTAACACGAGCTACACTTGTTAAATGCGGTAATGGGAAAGGATTTATGTCTCACTTTTCTCTTCCCTGACACTAAAAGTTAATATAAATTGTTTATGAAAAATATGATATCCTTTCCGAACTGATTCATTTCCAAAGCTGAAACTTTTAAAGCATAAAAAATGCGGGAACTCCATACGATAGTAGATATATTGCTGATAAGTATTTATTGGCAGCAATTTTCTATTTTTGAAGCCGATATCCTTGTATATATAAAAGTTATAGTAGCAGCAAGCTAAAGTATCCTGTAAAAATGAAGGATCTAATTAAATATTATATGCAAGGAAATATTAAGTGATTTATGTGTATCAATAAAGTCCATGTGTATATTTCATATTATTCAATTCTAATTGTAACAAGTGGCTACAGCCAATTCTATAGGTAAAACAATGATCGATGGAACGCGTTAAAAAGATGGAGAAACCCACAATTCTACAAGACGTCAAAGTTCAATAAGTTGTTCATTTTACCAATTAAGAACTTGAACGTAATGCTACAACGTCTATTTTGAAATAAATTTACTAATATAGTGTTTACTAAATCTTACTGTAGTACTCAATTTCGAACACAGCTTTTAATATATTATTAATGATGTTAGATCTCACAATAATGCTTTTTCATGTCAATTCTAAAACATTACGAGCAATGTGAACTCTAAACTCAGGATCTATTTTCCCACTGAGTAGAGTAGCTTATAAACAATTTCCTGCAGTATTACAATAAATGCAGCATTTTTTCCTTTCAATCGATATTATCTACAATTTTTTATACCAGTATTATGCATAATTGTTTATCCTAAAGGAAAATCATCATTTAGTGTAGATATTTATTGATATAAAATTTCAATGAAATAGCATTCATAAACTACGTGTGTTTATGCCTTCAGTAATAGCCAGTCTACCTGAATATTTACGTCATCAGCCAAGCATGAAACCTTTTCCTAATGACAATAAAATCGTTCTACCAGACAGCTATTGTACAACTGAATAAATAGAAAAATTTTCTATATCATGCGTAATTTAAGCTACATTATTTGTTCTAGCGTTACTATATTCTATTATTTATCACTTCTAGAAAGCTATGCATGAATTAAATCATTCAATCTGCAGTATTGACATTACCCCAGCACCAACTGCAAAAATTAACAAATAAAAATAGGAAAGATTTGTTTATTTTAGAGGACCTTTAAATGTCACAGCTACGATTTGCTTATGCTGATTTATTGTTACGTGCATTTATTTTTTAAATTACTCCTATTATGTCCAAATGTCTGTGTTTGCCCATCATCAAGACTAAACTTTATTCTTTATGAACTGATATGGCTGTCAATCATATTAGCCATCTTTATAATTTAACCATTATAATTTAACGGTGTTAGCAAGAACGATTTACTTATAGATGTCTATACATTTTACTGTTATTTTAAGGAAATGATAACGTTACCTAATCAAATGGATTTATGATTAGATATTTCTTCTATAGAAGTCACAATAAATAAAACTATAAGTAACGTTTGTTCGTATGTCATTCTATCACGGATTAGGAAATGTTGTATTTAATTGTCACTTCAGCCCGTTTGCAGCTGTAATTATAACTATAATGCTGCACGATAATCAATAGCCTCTATTTTAGCTATTAAGCGTATATCGTGGAATAGATAACCGACTCCTTTTGTAAAAGTTCACTCTTAGCAGTTGTGAATTATATATGATTATCATAGTTTGGTCTCTATAATATTAGATCTTAGATATAAAACTGTTATCTTGTTGATATTGCGAATGAGTTTGGTTCTTTATGTAGTTAACAATATGTTGACCTGATCCCAATAATATATTGATCCTGGGATGGAAAATGATACGTCATTGCGAGGGCTGCAAGTTTTAGCCCTTTACATCCCATTACAATAAAATCATCTGATTTATCTAAGCCTGTTCTTTACAGTAAAAGCAACTGTTTAATTTATTATTATCTATTTGCAGTATTATATCATATATTAGCATTATAACCTACAGATAATTCAAGTCTTACCATCACCTATGGTAAAGTATGTCCATGTAATGATTAAGAACAGATATCTCTTTTATAGAGATACCTCAATTAATGTTAATAATAAAAGCTTTCCACTCTTAATTTCTACTTTTAAAATATTATGAAATATAGAAAATATTAATTATAACAATGTTTTCGTTGTATCGATTCCTTTCAATATTAGTCCATAGTCATATGCAGCTGGTTCTGAAATTATGGCACAAGCTATAAATACCGTAATTTTCTTTTATTACCTACTAAGTAGCAGATACTAATTTTATTGATTGTTTAGAAGATAAGATTTTATCAATACTTAGTTTAAGTAGTGCCTTTTTCTATGCTAAAATTAGAACGCCCTAAATGTAATTAATTGATTACACAAATTCATTCACCCTAGTGCTCTATCTCATAATACATACCTTATAATTATACACGCACCATACAGGCATTTTTAATGTTAGGATAATAAGTATGATCAAGACATTTGCATATTTAAGACTAATAACGATATCATACAACAAGGAGATTGCTTTATTAGCATGCAAGATTAATTAGCAGTGGTGATGTATGATAATTTCAGAGTAATTTATTATTCTAGTTACGATCAACATTAGTCGTTCCATGCAAATTTATGAGATTAAGAATGAATTCAGGATATTACCGCGATATATAAATTTATGAGTCATTTTTAACCTTATGTAGCAACAAATCATTCCTCTGTTATTTTCATCCATTTTATCATTTTATTTGTAGCCTGTTTGATTTATTTATTTCCATTCAATATTTTTTAAATCCTTTTTATCAGTATAGTAAAATTAGAATTTAAGGAGTAATCGCTGGTGTAGATGATAATAAAGTATTGCGGTTGTTGTTATCATTGATGTTATTAGTTTATCTATCATCTATTTGATGTATTAATCTTTTTAAAACATTTTTTAAATCTTTTCTATCTTCATCATCACTATAATAAATTGAACTTTAAGGTTACATTCGTCGTAGGTATATTTGATAGTAAAAATATTTGGATTGTTGTCCTCCATTTATCAACATGTCTATGACCTGTTTGACTTATCCAATTCCTCTTAATATTCCTTCATCATCACAATAATTGTTGATTGGATCATTTAAAATAGAGTAGAATAGATTTCGTCACATTTTCCAGTAAACTGACATCGCCCACAC